TTGAAATATATAAATTAAATTTAAAAATTTAAAGCTATCATTAAGATGACAAAGTTATTTGTTGACATCATAATGATAGTCACTTTGTTGTTCATTTTGTCTTTTATTTCATGAGTTATGGTAGCTCTTAAGAAAAGCTGTATGCTGTTCACCGTTAACAATAAAAAAATTGTTTCCAGATTACAATGAATGACCACCCATCTATAAACGTTTTAAAATGACGGAACAAACAGCAGTGTGTCTACATCATGACAAAACTGGTAAATATAATTGTAGATTTTAAGGAATTTGGCTAAATTATTTTAACACTTATAATGTTACAATTGTTATGCTATTGACCATATTTTAAGTTTATTTTTTTTAATGTTTTAGCCGATACGCCATCTACTCATAAGGACTTAGTAGAAACTGCTAGTGACCAAACCAATCAACCACCGATAATACCAGGTAACTCAGCAGATTTATATAAGCTTTTAGCTAAAAATGTATTAATACCATATTTTATACATTGTTATTTTTGGAATTATAAACAGTAAATTTTATGTTACACAGATTTGCCGCAATGTAGTAATGTGGTGACACCTAAAAAGTGCATCCAGAAGAATGCTACAAGAAATAAAAAAAATTCAGCAACATATCTGAGAATATTGAAGGAGTTCCAAAAAAGCTAAAAAACAGTTAAGCTTTGCCAAAAGAGCCAAAAGGGCTATAAAGTTTTCCAAAAAGAAAAACTTCAAAAATTAACTTACAACTTGAAACCCCTTGCGAAAAAAAAATATGGATGCAAATTACGCAAAGTAGAAAACAGTCAAAAGGGTGGAGATTCTCTGATGAGGAAAAAATTATTGCACTTGCTATTATGAAACAAAGCCCAAAAAGCTACAGATTTTTACGAAGAATATTCATTCTTCCCTCCATAAGGACACTTAAAAAATTAATTAATAAGTTTAAAATGGATTCGGGAATAAATCCTCATATATTTAAATCGATTAAAACTGAGGTATACTGTTTCCTTAAACACTCATTTTTGTCTTAAGTATATTATTATGTTAAGCTAATTACCCAATGTTTTTATTCCTAGGTTTCAAATTGGCAATAATCGAAAAACTATTGCTCATTAATATTTGATGAAGTTACAATAGAACCAGGTCTTACATACGACAAATACAATGGCAATATCTGTGGACTGATAGAGTTACTGTCAAAAACCTGTGACTACGCTGACCTTGCCTTGGTGTTCCTCATCCGAGGTGCTGTACACAAATGGCAACAGCCTATTTCCTTTTATTTTTGTCGAGGGACTACACCTGCAATTATATTAAAAAATATAATGCTAAAAAATATATGCAAGCTATTAATAAGTTGAAGGAAGATACAAGAAAAAAACAAATATTGGCAAACGAAAATTCTGGTAAGATAATTGAATGAAAGATTCTAAAATTATCTGTAATGTGTTTTTATACTTTTATTGCCTATTAACCAATTTTTTGTATTCATTTCAGATGACACAAACATAATAAAAGGTCAAAAAATTTATATCTCCTCACCTCATTAAAAAAAAGTAGTAAAGTCGTAAAAAGTAAAAAGAAAGACAAAGTTAGATATAAATGTTAAACAGGGAAGACGAAAACTTCTTATATACCACCCAGAGTCCCGCAGGATTATATATGGCAACTTGAAGGGGTATTTCCCATCGTTTTATTGCTAAGGGCGAAACGCCTTTTAAAATGTTAGAATTAATTTATTATTACGAATTGTCTTTTTTTGGAATTTTCTGAAACAAATGTAAAACAAATGCGAAATGTGAAACAAATGAGAAATAACTGCTTGTAATTGTTTTAGCTAGATGCTGTATTGACATAAGATAAAGGAAATGCTATTCAGACCTTGTTTTAATAACAAAATATTGAAATAATGTAAAATTTAAATGTCATATTAAAAGTATATTTTTGCTTAAAGCTTTGTTTAAGAATTCGCTTAAAGTCCTAATTCTCACATTAAACTGTTAGATTGTTTGAGATAGATAAAAGTAATAATAAGGAGTATATTATTGTATTTTTATTAAAAATAAATATATTTCACGAATAAGGGAAATGTGGTAACGAAAGTTATGTGCTAAATTTGGGGGGTTTTCTCGCCTGGCTCACTTCACGGTTTAGCTTCGGGAGTACTTAGTAAGTCGATTTATTTGCAATTTGTTCCAAACTAGCTACAGGTTCAAGATATAAACAAGAAGAAAAAGGGGAAAAGTAATAGTAAAAGTGAAAGTTATCACATTACCTAGAACAGTTATATGTAATGCTGTTTCATTTATCAGTGTCCACCCTATAAGTCAGGGAAGTAAAGATAGTATACAGTCCACTAAGTCTGACGTCTAGACCGCGACCGAACGCTAGACCCGTAATCTTAGGCGTCAACCACTTTTTCTTTTGAGAAAGAGCGGTTTGTGTTTGTGACTTAACGTTATCGGGGTTACGCCCATCGCGTTGTTTCTCCAACCCAACGTGGTGTGGCATAGACAAGGGGTTAGTACTTGGTAGATCGACGGGTTAGAACCTAGGGAGCGTAAAGAACACTTTAGCTTCCCTTTCAATTGGTCTTTCACCGCCAGTTTGGACTAACGGACAGTCAGACGCTTCTGTTTCCTTTTCAATTGGGCCAGAAATTTCGCTTATCAGTAACTGTCTAAAATGTGAGAGAAGTAAATGTTATGATTATTATCGCCTCCATAATATTTGCAAAAACTTACATACTCAAATTAATATCTTAAGTACAAGAACGCATCACTATTCAACCGCTCTATGTGGCTTTACTTGGCATAATGAGCAATGAGCGAAAGACGCGTTCTATACCTGGCTGATTTATAATCTAAGTTCTTAGCACTCTTTTCTATGGATCCGAAAGTTCACTTCTAAATATTACTATACCTACTCTTTGGTAGGGTCTAAAATTTGGAATATATCAATTATGGAGTGTAGAAGTCGTAGACAGAGAGAAACCTATAGACTAATGACTAGCGTGGCCTCGAGTGAGAAAGGACGATAACGTAGTTTTAGGATATACAATAATCTTAACATATTATGTATCCTAAAACTACGTTACATGACTATTAAACATATTAAGATAAAAAATGTAATTGTTCTAAGAACTGAACTGAACAAGATTCACCAATCTTAAGCTCACAAAACACTTTTTTTTCACTTCAACCAACTTGTAAACTCCTTAGATCGCTACGAACCGTCAAAGTTGTTTAGCAAAGTGTAGTTTGCTAAACAAAAAATGCTATGTCTCATTTCTATGCAAGACGTATGCATAAATCTATCTTTTTCGTGTGCGAATGTGAAAGAGGGCGTCAAGTTGTCTATAGGTTTCTCTGTCTACGGTAGAAGTAAGGAGTAGAGACTGCGTATTAAAAAGTATCCCTAGAAAACCGTTAAATAAGGGTGGCGCCACTATAGCTACGGCCTAAATTTTAAAGAACGGGCCGAAAAATATTAGTGGTATAGACGACTTTTTATAGGTTATATTTACTAAATAAAATTATTTTAGATTTTGGAGCTACTAAGCAGTTTAGCGGCACACTTCAAACCGTCGACAACTGCTAAGTTCATTTCATCCCAGTAGCTACTCCAGCGCTGTTGTGGAGAGTTTTTGACCTGTTATTTACTGCTTACAGATGGACACTTTTTCCACTATTCTCTACTAAGGGAGTTAGTACTCCTTACTTCTACAATCCATAATATCGATATGATCCCCACACAGTACCTTTGTATAAACTGAAAATGATCCCATCGGCTGCCTGACAGATTAAGGTGCTTATCCTATGGAGTGTAGAAGTATCCCACAAACTATAATAAGAGTGCTTAGGCCACAGTTATCGATTGTTAGCTGGGCCTAGGTTCTTTGAGTATTCCTCAAAGCCTAGGTTAAACATCAAAATTTTCCAAAAACTGCAATGTAACGCATTAGCATCTACTAAGAAACTAGGGTGTATGCATATAGATTTCTGTGCCTTTATATAAAAAAACAACAACCAAGCTTAATGTCGGCAATGTTGCCACTTTAGCGACTTTGTCACTAAATCTAACGAGTTTTTTTTTTGTTAATTTAGGGAGTTTAATCAATGTTTAGCGACAAAAAATATTCGGACGACTTTTAGTGACATTCGCCCTTTTTTCAATTTTTGTTACCATCTGACTACTTTAGGCGTAAGGAATACTATATTCTATCCGTTAAAGAAATTATAAAATGTAAAGTGCCGAAACAAAGGTTCTCTGTATGTCGTTTTTACAATAATAAACACATTAAAACAAGCACAACTACATTCCATTACCTATTACAAATAAATCACTTAACATGTACAACATTATTATTCTATATATTAAAAAAATTAATTGTATGTGGTTTTATTTCCTCTAATTCACACGAGTATTGGTAATGTGGGGTGCTTTGATAATCCTCTTCCTCCTCGGCCAATGCATAGATAGTAAAACTGCATACAATTTTAAATTTTTTTTAATATATAGAATAATAATGTTGTACATGTTAAATGATTTATTTGTAATAGGTAATCAAAAATTGAAATGAAAATGTTTCTTTTTCATTTAAATTCGTTTTTTTAAATGTTTTTTTTTTTTGTAACAAAAATATTTTTGTACGCTTGGATACTGATCCTGATAACGCACTTAACGGGAACCACAGGGTTTTTGTTACATTTTATATATACATACATTTCTTTGTTTCGCGGTTTTTTTAATAAAATTATATTTAGCGACATTTGGGGACTTTTTTGTTACTAAATTCATTTATAACTAGGGACTTTTCGGTGGCAGTCTGGAGACCTACGCTAATTCCACTAATTCAATATGACAACATTGCAACGTCAGTTCAATTTTAAAAATAAATTAGAGAAGTACAAATACAAAAGTATATAGATTTGTTTTGATGGTTTGTTCCGTATATACACTTTTCGTTTCATAAAATTTAAATATAATAATAAAATGTCTGATATTGATGAAGAAGTAATTATAGCACCATGGGTTGGTCCTATGTGTTGTAAAAATGTTTTAACTATAGTTGTACTTTCAACTAACATTGAAATTATAGATAGAATATCGGACTCTCTTACTGAAATGCATTCCAAAGGCGCATTCAAATGGAAGCTTATAATACTTCGTTCGTTTCATTTGGAAGAGCTAGTAAGGCAATCAGATTTAACTGGGAAAGTTGCTATCGATTTCGTTATTTTAGCTATGGACACTAGTAGAATATTTTGCATCGAATGGTCAAAAAAAATGTTGGGACAAGTACATCCGGATCTAAGAATTCGTCGTGTTATACTAGTAAATGCCAGCGGATTACCTCTAAATGCGATGGCAGTTAATGCTTGTGATATTTTAGCATTTACTACTGAGCAAAAATTAGACATGCTAAGTGCCAATGTGTTCCAACAAAGAGAAGTAATGTCTTTAGCGCGAAGAATAATAAAATACATGGAAGTGTCTCTTGGCATTAAAACTGGTATTCCAAATTTAAATTTGTGACACAAAGTTAGTCGTGTATTATTTTGTCATTAAGTAATTGCTGTTTACTTCTCAAAAAGATGGACTTTGGCCTTCCTCATAGGAATGTGGTGAATTCAAGGAACGTGATCACACTACCAGAACTCTTCATTCACCTTTAGATGCTATTATTCTCTGCTCATCTGGACATTTTAAGTCTTGATTATACTAGATAATGATGTAACTATTGCAAACATGAGATTTCAGATTTGGTATGTTTGAAAAGAAATCTAAAGTAAAATTCAAAATTTAAAAAAATACTCAGAAAGCAGTTGCATGCATAATTATGACATGAAATGCATGGGTACATTTTCATTAGACAACAATAAAAATTTAAGTAAATATCAATTTTATTTTTAAATTTAACAGTGTTAAGTGTAGTTCAAAATGTATGACACAATATATATTTATTTATTATGAAGTTGTGGTATGTGTGCTGTTACAGGGTACATGGCCTTATCATTTTACTTTATCAATTTAGGGTAGTAACAATGACTACTTGTATGGAAGGTAAAATGAATTTATATGAAGCAGTATGAAAGTGGCATCAGTCATGGAAAAGTAGAAAAGTGATAGGATATGTATTATGGGAATATTATGCAATGGAAGTGAATGTAACAAGATGTGGATAAGAGTAGAGGGAGGCCTAAGAATAGATTGATGGATTGTTTTAGGGGTGGTATGCATAAGAAAGGAGTGGGTAAAGAGATAATAACTAAAGGATGACCCACGCTAGACCGAGTCTGGTCTGAGCTGAGTGTCAGCTGTAGCACACTGTTCCGGTCCCGTGTCTGAAATTACAAAGACTGACCTCGACCGACCAATCACCGTTGCGCCGTGATGCAGTATACTCGTCTGAGCAAGAATAGTGTTTAACTAGACTACAATCGTGTTGAAGTTTGACAATCTAGAATTAGCGGCTATTGCGATCGCTCTGGATGTTGAAGAGACTGATAAGTCTTCAGCTACAAGCCAGGACCGAGTTGTTGCCGAGCGTTGCCCATTGCTCGGCCATCATTTGGTTGCCCCTCGGTATAGCGTGAGTGAGTCCATACAAAATATATGTAATATTAGTTGACCATGCTACAGCCGACACTTGGCTCGGACCCGACACGGTCTAGCATGAGTCATACTTGAAAGAGGAGAATAGAAGAGAAAAACATGCTATACTGACCCCAAATAACTTTGGATAAGGGCCAGAACAAGAAGAAGAAGAATGACTATACTAGTCTGGCAACTCTTTATTTCTCTTTAAAAATATGTACTTCCTTAAAACAATAAAGAAACTAATCCTTGAGTGAAGACAATATATGAAAATTGTATATTTGTAAAATATAAATAAGTTTAATGTATTATTATTTAATAAATAAAGATTGAATAAGCAGAGTTTACTTTTTCACGTTTCACTCATAGTATTAGTTGTATATTACACATCTGTTCTAAGCAATTTTATAGAATTTGTATTTTTTTTTTGACAAATTTAAATGCACCTGCTATGTTTGCTCAAATGGGTGCGCAGAACGAGTAGAAATGGGAGGTATTCAGGACAGAAAAGTTATAGGTTGTTGTGTGTATGTCGCAGCCAACTAGCTGTTCAATTAACAGCCTAGCCTCTGCTAAACAGCGCCGTTGAACTAGCAGCCTGAATGATATTCAGCTGTAGCGTTTGTTACAACATTTAATAAACTGGCTGGCTAATGCTGCGGCCATTCCATAGGGCCATTTGTACGATGGGGTAAAACAGCACCATTCAACTAGCGGCCTGAATGACATTCAGCCAATACCTCTAATGGATGACACACATAGTTCAAACTAAATTTTTGATATTTTTTAAAATATTGGAATTTCGATATATCGATAATTATAAATATATCAATATCGGAATATATCTATATATGTCTGTTTATCGAAAATCCAATATTTTAAATATCAACAATCCTAGTTTGAACTGATTGGTTGAAGGTTGAACCGACCGTGTGTGTAGTCCACTACACATTTCATGATTTTAATTATGTACTATGCGCTATATTATATAATTATACGTGGCTACCTGGTGTCGCTGGTATTACAAGATAGTTGCAATGTTTTATTAGATGCAGTGGCTGATTATCATTCAGGCCCCTAGTTAAAAAGGCTAAGATGTTAATTGAAATTAAGGTAGTTGGCCGCGACAGCTTGTACTATTTTTCATTAAACTTTGGAAAACACCATCAAATTTTATTGTTTGCCGAACCGATACCTATGTATATATTACTCTACTCTATGAGCGATACTGATTAGTGGTTACTGACAGCAGTATGCCAGTATGGATAGTTTGTAGTTTCAGCGCTAGGCGGCAGAAAGTGGAGCTAAATGGAAATGGCTAGGCAAGTAATGAAACGTCATCGATCCAAGTCATTTGCCTAGCTGTTTGATCGAATGGCTGATAATAATTCAGGCCGCTAGTTGAACGGCGCTGTTTAGTAGAGGCTAGGCTGTTGATTGAACGGCTCATTAATCATTAAGAAAGGTCGCTGCAACATGTAGGGTAAGAGGGTATTGGGAATCACAGCGAGAATTCAAATAAAAGCTTATTTCACAATAAAATCGTTATTGAAACTATATAATAACAAAATTTACGTAATTAGCTATCAATTGAAATCATTTTTAATCACTTTGGCAATTAACTTTGGAAATAATTACAGTTCAAAAAAATAACGGATTTGACCCCCATTGCACTGAGGTGAGGGCAAAGGTGGTACCCTGTGGGTAATTAGAGTCAAACAAAATTTAACATATATCGCACACATAACCTTTGACTTAGTCCCACCCAGGGCAGTCCAAAGGAGCCGTTTTTCTTGTTGTGATTTTATAATGTTATAATTTTCTTTATCTACCAGGTATTTTTTCGATTGGCGTTGATGTTAAAACTGTAGAGTGCTGCTTCTTTCGGCCCTGTTGAGGATAGATGCTTCTTTCTCTGGCAACTTAATAAATTCTTGTAAAGTGGACACTTTCTTTGAGGTTTCTTTGGTTTGTTCTGTGGATAAAATATCTCCTTTTTTCGATGTGTCGGGAAGTGATTGATCTGCTTGCTTTGATGTGCTAGGCGTCGAGCTTGTATTATCATGTACTGCATAAGTAGCAACAGCTGAAATAGATTCATCATAATCTTAAACCGCAATAGACTTCGATTGACTAAATTTCAGCTGCAACAAAGTTTTCTTCCGCAAATAGTTCGGGATTAATAGGAAATGGAATACCCTTGTTGATCAATTAGCTGCAAAGCTTTTTCCAAACTATCGGTAGACCAGGAAGTCTTTTCGGGAATTCTGACCCGTACTTTCAGCAACTACAAAAAATGCAGTATATAAGGTATAGGAAAATAAATCCATAGGCACATTACACTACTTTACTTTGCCAGCAATGACTAATGACACCTGACTCCCATTGCCCGCAACTACACCAATGATTAAGTCAGAAATAAAAAAAAATTGAAATCATTTTGGTAATCAAGGGTTTTACATCACTGTTTTGAACGTCAGACTAATTACATATAAAATTCTCATTTCGATACATTATGAAATTCGAGACTTACCGTTTGTTTTCTTTCGATGAAAATTTACATCGGCGAGACACAAAAACAAAATACAATCATCACTCCAAAACGCGTGGTGGTAACTGGTGGGAGTCGTTCGAAACCGGCACGCAGCAGTGCGTACATATCATTTACGTGGCTCGCAGATGAGTAGGTGATCACCATTACCCGCTCTTCCCCTACATTTCTGCATTTGTCAATTTTGCACCTCTGCATTGTTGTATATTAAGGTGTAAAAGTTTCCAAATTTAGAACTTTGGTATCTTATTTGTTGAATTATGCCAGTATCTCATATTCAGACTAACAGTTCTCACTCGGTTACGGCAATGCGAGGTACAAGTGGACCCGACATATCCAATTTTGTGATTATAGTATCGCCATCTTTTTAATGCTGATTATTATTAAAATTTTAAATATAAATCTTAAGCGGGCTACATACGACACGATATCGGTGGCGATCTAGGGTGGAAAGAAATCGGGGCTTTTATCGGGTAGACCTTACACACGGGCCTGCCTAGCAGTGCGCGTTCGGACTTGGAGCGGAATGCATATGCGGTAGAGTTCTTCAAAATACCTCCGACTCTCCTAAAACACCACCGTGTTGGTTTGGCATTAGCCATCTCGGTTAATTTATTCGAAAATAGAAAAAGAGAAGTTGCTGGGTGAAAAAATGGCTCCAAAAGAGATAAAAATTAAGCCACATAAACGTACTAAATGGCCTGTAATCCAAGGACGTGATTAATTTTCTCCGGATGGATGAAGACAGTTTTTATAACCTTCTAGAAATGATTTCGCCACTTATATAAAAACGTCAATTTCTCCTACCTATGCTATTTAGTTATTTCTTCTCTTTGTTCATTTCTGCTTTGGTCAAAATCTGGTTATGTATTACACACAACAAACAAGGAAATAAAATACTTTTGTATAATAATATGTATACTTTTTTTTAATGTAATCTTTATTTATGGAGTAAAACTATCAGAAAATAAAATAGCTTATATCTTTTTTTAAACATAAAGAAACCTTTAATTTCGGACATACTCCCTTTTATATAACTTGTTTGTTGATGTGGAGATGGTGAAGGAGTAGAAGTTTGTTTATAAGAGGATGAAGGCACGTAAGAGATCGAATTGTGGTCTTGTGGACTTGTAAGAGATATGAGTGCGGTCTTGTTTTGATAGTGTTGGAATAGGAGTTAGTTGTTGAGGAGAGGCTTTAACTTCTCCTTACTTACATCATACACTCTACTTTACGAACGGCAATAAAAAAATTAGTTTAGTAGGCATTATTGACCATGTCACTTCGCAGGGTCTCAGGCTAGGGTGGATATGATTTGAATTTCGATAAAATTTCAATTAATTTATTTATTTTATTCACTTTTTTTTGGTTTTTTGTAAAATATCAG